AATTTGCTGAAAAAGCTAAAAATAACAGCTAGATAGTAGCTGAAATGACTGAAACTATGATAACATAAATAAGCTGAAAGGAGCACAAGCTGAAATTAGTAGAAGGAGGTTAATTAGGCTGAAACTGGCAAAAGTTACCACGACAAATTTGAATTTACTGAAACAGCTCAAATTAGCTTTAAAAAAATGCTAAAAAAAAAAAAAAAAAAAAAAAATTTAAGTAGCTGAAAGGGTAGAACAAGGAATTAGCAGAAGAAAGCAGAAATAATATGTTTGCCCAATTAGACTGAAAAAAGCAAAAGTGAGCCCAAAGAAGTTGCAATTATCTGAAAAGAAAAAAGCTCAAATTTGCATAAAAGTAGCTAAATAGTTGCTGACACTTGCAGAAATGAGCTGAAAGGAGCATACCAAGCTGAAATTAGCAGAAAGAAGTTTAAAAAAGCACAAAAATGTTGTAGTTAGCAGAAAGAATCTGAAAGCAGCGCACACAGCTGAAAAATCATATGAAAGTAGCTGAAAGTAGTGAAGGTGAAAGAAGCTGAAGCAGAACAAAATGTGAAAAGAGCAGTAAAAGGCTGTAAACGGAACTAAAGATTTGAAGGATGCAAAATGATCTCAATTCATTTTCTATGAGAAATAAGTGGCAGAAAACGCTAAATATTTCAAAAAGCTAAAGCTGCACCAGTACCAAAAATCAGAGCAACCTTTTCCTGGAGGAGATGAACATTTTGATATATGATTTGTTGAAATAGCACAAAAACTGTTGAACGGGAAAGATGCCGAAATACATACGGAAGAAAAATGGATCACAATAGTGTGAACGCTTCATAAGCGTTCACACTATTAAAACGCCACGCTCGTGTTTTCACTCCAGAACTTGCTCCCTGAAAGCGTCACGTCTTGTGAAAACTGAGTAAACCATTTAACACCGATTGCTGCTTCTAATGGCTGCGGACATGTCCCAAAGGTTCCCTTATGTGTTTCACTGATTGTGCTATTTCTGTGTCAAGTTGTCTATTTTTAATAAAGTCTTCTGCTGTTTGATGCCAGCTGGTGCTGAGCTGCTTAATGCTGCCTGGCATCTTTTTGTGTCACATCGTTTTATGTTGTGTTCTTGCACCCTGCGTTCTTGCTGTGATAAGCAGCAGGATGCTGACAGGTCAACAGCCTTCCACCCAGAGGTATGAAGACTCTCGTGCCTAAAATAAGAAATATCTAACAATAGAGACAAAAGCAAGATGAGGAGACAGGAGAGGGTGTGATCACACCTACTGTCTATTATAACACATCCTCACAGGTCTGAATTAGTCCAGCTCTCTCTTAACCCCGTTGTAAAGAGTTCAGAGTGAAATAACCATTTATTGAAGCTGTTATTGAGTTAGAGATTTAGATCCTGTACAGCAACACTCTGTTCATCTTAACGTGTAAATTATATTTAATAAAGTCTGAGCTTTCCTTGAAATAATGCATATTGCTCTCTGCTTTATATGCTAGAGAGTTAGACTAATAAAAGCGTTCATACATTTCAGATTGAAAATGACTTGAGACGTAAAAACGTCATCTAGATTTAAATGATTTGCCGTATATTTTTGCAAATCCTTTTAATAAGTAATTTAATGATTTAGCATGGGCTGCTGGTTGTCACAGATTCTGTTCATAACTTTTATGGACAAAATTTCTCGGTGCAGCCAGGGGGAATTCCATCTCTGCTCTTTGCAGATGATGTGGTCCTGTTGGCGTCATCGTGCCGTGATCTCCAGCTCTCACTGGAGCGGTTCACAGCCGAGTGTGAAGCGGCTGGGATGAGAATCAGCACCTCCAAATCTGAGGCCACGGTCTTCAAACGGAAAAGGGTGGATTGCTCTCTTTGGGTCGAGGGTGAGGTTCTGCCTCAAGTGGAAGAGTTCAAGTATCTCGGGGTTTTGTTCATGAGTGAGGGAAGAATGGAGCGTGAGATTGACAGACAGATTGGTGCAGCATCTGCAGTATTGCAGACGCTGTACCGGTCCGTTGTGGTGAAGAGGAAACTGAGCTGTAAGGCAAAGCTCTCTGTTTACCGATCTCTCTACAGTCATACCCTCAACTGCAGTCACGAGCTCTGGGTAGTGACCGAAAGAATGAGATCATGGATACAGGCGGTTGAAAGGAGTTTCCTCCGCAGGGTAGCTGGACTCTCCCTTAGAGATAGGGTGAAAAGTTCAGTTATCCGGGAGCTACTCGAAGTAGAACCACCCTTCCTCCATATCGAAAGGAGCCAGTTGAGGTGGTTCATCTCATAAGGAAGCTCCCTGGGCGCCTCCCTAGGGAGGTGAGTCGGGCATGTCCGACTGGGAGGAGGCTCAGAGGAAAACTTGGGACACGTTGGAGAGACTATGTCTCTCTGTTGGCCTGGGAACACCTTGGGTCCTCCCAGAAGAGCTGGAAGAGGTGGCTGTGGAAAGAGACATCTGGGCCCCCCTGCTCAAGCTGCTGACCTTGTGACCCGACTTTGGAACAAGTGAAAGATGATGGATGGATGGATGGATGGATGGATGGATGGATGGATGGATGGATGGATGGATGGATGGATGGATGGATGGATGGATGGAATTTGACTAAAATCACATCTTAGATTAATTATGCATGATTTCATCTATTATTATTACTCAAATTTCTCCCTGGGATTAATAAAGTATCTATCCATCCATCCATCCATCCATCCATCCATCCATCCATCCATCCATCTGTTAACCTTTGGGCGTCAGGCCATTTCAAGATGGCTGCAACACCTTAGACAACACAAAAATGGAGATGACTCAGTCATTTTTACTGGTACTGTAGTGAGCAAAACTTTGATGTGGTAGTAGCTGAGAGTCATTCAAATGATCTGAGTCTAAAACTCTGGCATTAAAGGCGGCGGGTGACATGCATTCCTTAAAGGAAGACTAGATCTTTAATCAAAGCATGTGAACCTGCTGTAACAGATTTGAAAAGTAGAGAACTATTCCAATAAATGAGCATATAGCGGAGTTACTGGAAATATCATTCCAAAGCAAATCAGAAGGAAATGTATTGTTTAAAGGCTCTACTGAGACTAAATCAGTTCTGTTTAAAAATTAATATCACACTGTCAATATTTTAAATGAGCAATTTTTTTAAAGTTGTGGCACCTCTGAATGAACTCGCATCTGATCAGACGAATAAAAGTGGCATCGATCGAACAGTCGACGCGGTTCAAACAGCCACAGCAGCTTGTTTGCTGCTGTCTGCCGAGCGGGCGTGACATTGCGGGGTGATTTTCCAATCTGTATGCTTTTCTCTTCCTGCTGTGCGTGACCTTCTTGGTGTGATGTGATGCACAGCATGGTGGTAAGCGTGAAGACGTGGGCAGATTCAAGTCCACGTGCACAAATTATCCTCCCCCGTCACTTTTTTCTACAGGGTTAAACCTGTCAGTGCTGTAAATCTTACAGGGAGTCCTGGTAAACAGTGCTGGGCAGTGACCTCTCCGGGAAACGGTGTTCGTGCATGTGTGTGTTGTTACTTTGAGGCAGTAAGAAGAAGATGTTGGAGCTCTGTTGAAATGGGTCAAAATGGTGAGGGGAATGGTAATTGAGGTCGAGGTCGCTGACAGCAGAAAAGGGTTAAAGTAGCTATTTTGGGGGGACAAGACACACTCAGTCGGACAAACTAGCACATGCAAAACTTCAGCTTGTTCTTCTGTTGTCTGTAATGATGTTACCGTATTTTCCGCTGTACACGTCGCACCGCCCTATAAGTCACATCAGTTCAAATATGTCTAATAAAGTGGAAAAATCCACAAACATGTCTCTTCGCCCTATACGTCACATTTACAGTATTATGCGTCACTGCTGACGCGTCGCGTTTGTTACTCGTCATCGCCGACAACTCGGAAATGTGGGCCGGTGTTGTGCCAAATATCAATTGGCTGCCAAATGGCGGCTGCGGGGGCGTGCGCAGGAGGACTTTAACAAGATTAACACTTAAAAAACATTTATTGTTTGTTCGAAATTATAGTAAAAGTGTGTCTGAGATTAACTTTTCCTTAATAAATGCACTTTGACAGTCAAATCAGTTACATTTTCAAAAGCCGATACGCGGAAACATGAGAGCAACTGGCTGCGCATTACTTGGAAATTTAACAAGATAACCACAATTATTTATTAGCTCGACATTACAGTAAAGGTGCGTCTCAGATTAACTTTTACTTAATAAATTCACTTCAATGGTCAAATTAACTTTATTTCACCGGGGCGACGCAGGAAATGAAGCTGATTGACGGTTGCTCCAGACAGACGACAGTGTGAGGCTATGCCAAGCCGATTGCATCATTAATAGCCACTATTACCTATTACATGACACAACGGCATGCCGTACCACTCGAGTGCCATCTAGCAAACCAAAAGTTAATCAGTTGTAGATGGACACCGGATAATGATTTTTCTGGGAGTTTCATTAAAATCCATCTGGTCCATGACATATTTTGCAAACAGACAGACCAATAAACAAAGACATGTCTGTATATTTAAATAGCTACACCCCCATCCCACTTGTCAATCTTTGGTGGCATATACTTCAAACCATCTGAATATTACTGTAAATGACAAAACTTTGCCTCCTTTATTGCACCGAACCGACTTCTCGTCCTCATCTGGCAGAACTTTCATCATCACCACCCACCAAACGTCACATCTGTGCTGCTCAGCAGTCCAAAAAAAAAAAAAGAAAAAAAAAAATCTGCTCTTGTTTCAGTTTGATGAAACTTCTACAGGGGGGTGAGAAAGCTCAGAATTACGACAGCACCTGAAGGCAGCAGCAGCAGATCCTAACGCTCACTGGGAGAGAGATAATTTAGCCTTGTACCTCTGGCCTGCTTTGATAAAGTCTTTTTTTTTTTTCTCTGAGTTGTGTCTTATCTACTTCAGGAAGACCCAGCAAGTGTTTCTTTTTTTATATATTTATAAGAAATAGTTTGAAAGTGAGCTCTGGCCCGGTGTGACATGGCTCTCCAGGTGGTCTGGCTCCTGCTCGCGCTGTCCGGCGTCCTGAACGTGCGCTCCTGCGGGGCTTATACCTGCCCCCCCATCTGCCGCTGCACCCCCGACTCCTTTCAGTGCAACAGGGACACCCAGCTGGCCCCCCGGGCAGGAGCAGCATCTGTGCTTCGACTGTAAGTAACTCAGCTGCAACTAAAAGTCACAGATTTTTACTGAACCCTTCAAGAAACTTTTATTCTCTGCAGACTTCTTGTGTCAGTGCTGCTCTTTTGTTTTGTTTTGAGCTGTGACTATAAAATGCAAACTGAAGAGACATTCTTGTAGCCTGTTTTCTTTTATATATATAAGTGTGGACTTAAACGCCTCGCTCATGAATCTTGCAGAAGGCTCACCCATCTGCCCTTGAAGCGAGTACCCAGCCATGCCTTCAAGGAGCTGCTCAACGTTACCATCATGTAAGTTTTCTCTCACACGTGCAGGAAGAGGCTGAGGTGGCTGATTTAATTACTGAAATAAAGCTGAAGCGTGTTCGTCAACTTGAGCAACCCAAACCATTATGTTTCCCACTCATTGATGCGTCTTCAGTCTTGAGCTGTGATTTAATTGGGCCTTCGCTGAAAATACTTTTCACACTCTGGGGAGTAATTATTGTTTTCTGTAGTTAGGGGACATTTATCAAGTCTTAGACATAATGCGTAATAATCTACAGAAAGAAGTGTTTTGATTAGTCGGTGCAGCAGATTTGTTTAAATTGCAAACTATAAAATAAAATATAAAAAGCTTGTTCTGACCGGTATCAAATGGTGCAATTTGAAAATGTTTAGTAGTTTCCCAGATTAATTGATGTGGATTTCTGAAATGCAGGTACGCACTCAACGTAAACAAACTTTTATCTGTGTACTTTACTCAATACTACGGTGGCCCTAAGGTGTAAATGAACAACGTTTGGAAAAAAAAATGGAATTACATTAAGCCAAAGCGGAAGTGGCCGGAATCACATTAGAAAAAAAAAAACAGAATTACATTTGAAAAAACGGAATCACATTTGAAAAAACGGAATCACATTTGAAAAAATTGAATCACATTTGATAAAAACGGAATCACATTTGAAAAAACGGAATCACATTTGATAAAAACAGAATCACTTTAAGCCAAAGCGGAAGTGGCCAAAGCGGAAGTGGCCGGAATCACATGGGAGAAAACAGAATTACATTAAGCCAAACAGGAAGTGTTTTTTTTTTTAACTTTATTAACAGCATAAAACTGAACAACAGAACCATATACAGTACAAACACAACGGAGATACAGTTAGCAGGCTATCCTTTTAACTGTATCTCCATTGTGTGTATTGTTCTGTTGTTGGGCTAATACATTTAAAAAGAAAAAAAAAACTTCCAGTTTGGCTTAATTTAATTCCGTTTTTTCAAATGTCATTCCGTTTTTTCAAATGTCATTCCATTTTTTCAAATTTAATTCCGTTTTTTTCAAATGTTGTTCATTTACACCTTGGGGCCACGGTATATACAGTATATACCGTATATACCGTATATACCGTATATACAATATATCTGAATGTAAATGTGTATTAATTAAACCCAAACAGCTCCTTTAGTTGTTGCCACTGGTGGACAATTTTAGTCGCTTCATCTGTTTTTGTAAAAAACAAATGTTATCAGTCCATTAAATGGATGTTGTTAGTTGTTATCATCCCCATATGTAGCGTTCAGACTGTCCCTCCTACCTCCTAGTAGGTTTAAATGTAGGTTCTTATCACTGATAATATGCAGCTTTGCACGCATGTAAAACAGGAAGATGTTTGTTTAGGGGGGTTTTGCTTTATTTAACCCTTTTCTTAAACTTAACCTTACACCTGACCCTCAACTTAACCCCAGACCCTTTACTCTTTACCTAACCACGTGACCCTAGCACTAACAACGTACATTTAAATGTAACAGGAGGGGCAGTCTGAATGCAACCTGTGGGGATGATAGCAACTAATAATGTCCATTTAATGGCTGATAACATTCAGCAGGTGACTAATGCAGGTGGGAGTTGGCAGCTGTTCTGCAAATTTTTAATAAAAAAACAATCCTTTTAGTCACGTCTTCCCGAAAAGTTTCACTAGCATTTTGTTTTAAACACAGAATCATGACAGATTTCACTTTGACTAGTTTAAGATTTGAGTAAAAAAAAAAAAAGTAGGATAAACCAAAGATAGTTTGAAAAATTATTTAGCTGTAACCTGTGTCATTATGTGTTCTTAAAGAGAACAGTTTAGAAGTCATTTGACATTTCTCACCAATCGGCGCTTTTATTTTGGAAACTAGAAGTAAATTTTCTGAACTTGTCAATTATTTTCCAAATTAAAAAGGAGTTTACAGGAGAATAATAGTTTGACTCAAAGTTATATTTGAACACAAGCTGGATGAACTAAATTTTCATTATCCTCAGGTTGCCAAATAAAACAACTCCCCTTTGTTAAATTACCGTTAATAAATCAATGTTTGTAGAAGCAGCAGTAATGATACTGCCGGACATTAATCACTGATACAAACTGAACTAATGCATGACAATTATAAATGTCTGAGGGTTTACAGGTGAAAACTAGGACCACCAGCTGCAGTGGATTAATCAACTTTGTGTGGTTTAGGTTCAAACATTGACCAAGTGTTTCACACGTGTGGCAACTCAGTAAAAATCTTTACTTTGAATGAAGTAAACGCAGCCAAAGTGTGCGGCGGAGCAGTGGGTCTCCCAGCTGTAAAGTAATCCTCAACACATCAGCAAATCCACCACGAAACAGCTCGAAGTGAAGAGCTCGCGTTGGGTTAGAGAACGGCACAGTCGAAGACGAGATGTGAATCACCCCGAAGTGCTGCGGGGGAGATCAAATCGTGTAAACATGTAAAACAACAACTCTTAAAACTAAAGAAAGTGTACATGAAAGATGGCAGGTAGCTGACCAGGTCACAGACCGGTGGACAATTTATGCAAAACGCCTACACGGATGTATTTCTGCTGAAAGATGCCGATTGAAGTTTTTTGATTCTTAAAGTTGTTTTTTTTCTTGAGAAAAATGTTCCAGCCGCTCGTTTTAAACGGAGCTGAGTGTGTTTGTTCCTCGGGGACGAGTCTTATCAGTCCCAGATACTCGCTGTACTTTAACGCCATCAGTTTTCATATTTTGTGTTTTGACATTTCTGAAGGTTCGGCCGAAATGATACCTTCAGGTCTTAAATCTGTGAAAGCTGAGTCAGCATTTACATTAAAAGTGCTTCAAAGTGCATATGCTGTGCTATTTTAAGTGTTTATATTTTAAAATTAAAATAAAAAATCAGCTCGATCAGAAAAAGTTGGCTATGATTTTTGATTTCTGTAAAAAATATTTATTTGACTTTATTCCCCTGATAATGCAGTTAGATTTATTCAATTTATTCAAAAACTTGAAAAAAATAAAACTTTTAAGGAAGAAGTGACTGAAATATATATATTTTTTAATTAAAATTTTGCAAGCTAATTTGTGAACAGCTGCCCACTCCCACCTGCTGTTGTTTGTTTGTTTGAAAACAGCCGAAGTGACTAAAATTGTCCATCAAGCGGCAACAACTATAAAGGAGCCGTTTGAGTTGCATTAATATGCATTTGAAAAAACACAGAAAAAAGTTTGTTTACATTGAGTGCGTACCTGCATTTCAGAACTCCACATCAATTCATCTGGAAAACTGCTGGAGTAAACTTTTTTCAAATTACCCCATTTGATAGAGCTCAGAACAAGCGTTTTATATTTTAATTTACAGTTTGCAATAAATATGTTTAAACAAATGCTAGGCAGCTGAACTGACTAATCAAAATACAATTTGTTTTCATATACTACTATTAGCTAGCCTTTTGCTACTTTTAGCTACTGTTCTATTAGTTTTGGCAAATCTTTTGCTCATTTTAGCGCTAGTTTTCCTTTAGCTACAGTTTTATTAATTTTAGCTTTTGTCTTGCTTCTTAATTGTTTTTGCTAACAACAAGGTCCATGCCGAATGTTTTTGCTAACCTTAATTTTAGCATCTTTTTTGCCACTATTAACTACTTATTTGGATAATTTTAATATGGATTTTCCTCCTTTTTTCCCATAGCATCTTTTTTTTTGCTATTTTTAGCTAATAATTTGCTCCTTTTTAACTTTTATCCACTGTTCTGCTGCTTTTAGCTTTTTCAGCTCTGGTGATTTAATCTTTTAGCTACTGATTTTCTGCTTTAAACGTCAAACAACTATATTGTTTTTGTTTTTAAGCTATTGTTCTGCTACATTTAGCTTACGTTCTGCTCGTTTTAGCCTCTGTTCAACGTGTTTTAAATTTACCAATTCAGTTTGGTTTCAAATTTCAGCTAAGTTATTTAGCACTCAGCGCTCACGTTGCATTTTCACAGAAAATACAGTTTCTTTAGTGATTTTAGATTTTTACAGCTCTGTTTTTTCTAATGACCAAACCTGTGTCAAGGCAGAATGACACGGGGAACTCGATGTTTTCGCCTTCGTAATGCATGTTTAAAATGTGTTTGCAGACTGCAGCAAACAAGCGCTTCATGATCATTTTAGAAGATCATGGTGAAACGCTTTTTTATGATCTGCGAGCAGTAATTATGACACTATGTGTGTAAAGCAATCAGGAGGTGCGGGGTGTAGGGGAGAAGACTTTAATTGTTTCTTGGCTCGAGATGGAAGGATCGTGACGTTACGTTAGAAAAAGTGTCGGCTGATTACAGCAGAGGGCGAGAGGAAAACGATTTGAAACAGAAGATGGAAAGCATTTTGTAAAGGCAACCATCAGAAGCAATCAAGAACCAAAGAAATACGCCTCGTTAACTTGGTCGAGTCTTTCTTTAGTCCAACTCATTAAATCCCTTCACTTCCTCTTCCTGACCTGGATGCATTTATGAAGCATGTTCAGAGTTCCTCCTATCATGAAGTCCAGTGTGTGTGTGTGTGTGTGTGTAGTGGCCTAGAAAGCATGCATCGTTGATGGTGGTGTTTGGTGTTTTGATTTTCCTCTTGTGGTTTCCAGGTCGGTATCAATCAACTCTGGCCTATTTTTGTATAGAAACCAAACCAAGCCTCGTTATCGCCCGCCGCCAAAGACGAGAGGCCTCAATGGTTTTTTGGTTGTGTGTGTTCATCATTAGCACAATTCTCCTGAGCCCGTAAGATGAACTGTATTAAAACTCAGAAAGTAATAATTTGATTTACATCTACAACTGCTTAACCTTTGTACCAAACCACATTGAAGATGGCCGCCACAGTTAATCAACTTTAGCCAACACGAACAGTCAGCTGTGCAAATATTAAGCTAAAAAGCAGTGGGGTGGTAGCTGTGAATCACACCCAACACATATTTTGAGCTCTAAATGATAAAGCAAATCAAGCTTTTAAACATGCCATTAACTATACAGTCATTTCTATCTGTCTGTTAGCAAAATATCTCACAAACCACTGGACAAATTTCAATTAAATTTTCAGAAAGCAATCACTGAATGTATGTAGGCCTGTCACGATAACAAATTTTGCTGGGCGATTAATTGTCTCAGAAATTATTGTGATAAACGAGAATATTGTTTGAAATTTGACAATAATTATTGTCAAATTTCAGAAATGATTCATTTGTTTTGCATGTAATACCTTTGTTTGACCACTGGATGGCAGTATAAGACTGTTTGAACCGAAGGATGGATAGTGAGGGAGCAGCGTGACTCTTTAAGAAAAATGGGAGGGAGGCCCCTTGACGTGACATGGGCTGTTTCTCTTCGGTTCTCAAAATGGCGGACGCTTGGTGTGGTTTGAGCTCTTTAGCATAGCATTTTTCACACACACAAAAAAAAAATCAGTAAACAAGTTCTCAGCTTCTTTTTGCAGAGAAAAACTTTTTACACAAAGGCACAGGGATCAACCATGAATTTTGGAGCTTCAACAAGACAAAGGTTTTTTTCCCCCAAGACAGCCTGTTAGCCGTAGCTTAGCTTCTCAGCTTATCCGCTTTTAACGATCCAAAAACGTGATTTTTTTTTATGGTTGAAACAGATTTTAAAGAGAAAAGTGAAAGGGAGGGGTCAGTAAAGAGCACCGGAGTTGAGCTTTTTGTCATCCAGTGTCTTCAGTAGAAAGAGAGACACAAAGAAATGATAAAGCCGATAAATGAAAATGAGGTTGATAATTTTCATTTATCATGCGATTAATTGATTTATTGTTTAGTGCGGCAGGACTAAATGTACACCTTCTCAACAGATACTTTGTGTTGACAGAGTCTCACAATATTGCAAGAGCTGGTGCATATTAAGTTTTACAATAATTGATCGAAATGCCTTTTAACTCCATCCCTTTTCATCAATAAATGAAATTCATTTTGTTTTTTTGGGGGTGATATGCATTCTTCCAAGTCTTTAATTTCTATCAGCGTGATTTAAGACAGTTTAGGTGTGTTTAGTTTAGCATTTTTAACTGTTTCTTCCCACAGAGAGATCTCCCAGAGCGACTGCATCACGCACATCCAGAGACACGCCTTCCTCTCCCTCCACAGTCTGACACAAATGTAGGCTAAGTGACATTTTTGTTTTTTCCTCCTCGATTCGCATTCAAACCATCAATGCATCATTATTCATTTGAACAGCTGGGGCGGTTCTTGAATTCATTTAAATTTCATGGGATTATGTCAGTTACAGAGCGGCGCGTTTAATCTTTTGACTCTCTGGGAGGCATGGATGTTGTTTTGTGCGTTTGTACGTTAACGCTGTACCTGCTGATGTGTTGCCTCGTTTCTATTCCTGTAGCTCAGTGCAGAATATCAACAGTCTGAGAGTTATTGAAAAGGGTGCCTTCACTGACCTGCCCAGGCTTGAGTACATGTGAGTAACCTTGTTTTGTTTCATTTCAATAAAAAAGTGTGTGAGTGGGGGAAAGGGGGGGGGGGGTGATGTAATTCACTGCAATTAAAATGTAAAAGCATGATTTTGCTATAAATTTGACTTTATCTTCGGATTCCCATGTATTTTTTAACATTGCAAACACTAAGCATAATTTTTTTGTTTTCCAATTGTAGGACTTTTTGCTCACATGACTTGTTCATACCAGTGGTGGTTTTAGCCTCTTTTGGGGGTGCTCAAGCACTCCTAGATTCTAACTCAACACCCCTGAAAAATTAAACCATCATGAGGATTTTGTAAATAAACTCAGTTCTATTTCATATAGGCTTCGCCCTTTAAGGCTGTCGCTGATGGGTTTATCCCGTTATGCAGAGCATAAGCACTGAAAAAAATTAGTCCACGCCCACCTGCTGTGTGGGCCCCACCCGGTCCGTATAAATTACGTTAAGAGCGGGAAATCGGCTCCCATTTTTTCTTCAGCGAGCTAATATAGCACTGTCAGAAGAACAAAGAAGATAAATTGTGTAAATGACCAACCTTTGTGAAGGATGCTTGGCCCGGCAGTCGACCTCCGGTCGTCCGGTGAGTTCTCCTCCCCGAGGAGAAGATGACAGCAGTCTTATTCCAAGGTAAGCGTCGTGGAACATTTCCCAGTGACAGGTCACTACACGCTGGACAACGCCATCTTGTGTTTTTCCTCTTATCGCCGACCCTCGGGGCGAACCGGATGGTTCCTCCGGGGCAAGGCGTGCTCAGCTGCAGCCCCGCTGCTCTTTCCCTCCTGGGGAGCGTAGTGTAGGTGGAGGGGGGCTGAGTGAATGCTCACCCCATCCCACCTCGTTTCGCATCGGCGATCACACCGCTCCCGGCCGACGGCGCCCTCAGGGGTTGCCCGGCGGAACCCAGGAGGAGGCTGACATGAAGGGACCCCTTTTTTCTACGTCCCTCGCCTTTTCCCGCCAGTTCGGATGATCGGCGGAAAGGTTATTTTTCACTGGGCTCCACTCTGGCTCACCGTCTTGATCCATACGGCCTCGCGTTCCAACAGGACGTTCCACGGGCGAGGCCGCAGACGGTTCTTTCCTGGTAGATTAGAGGAGTCGGTCCCCAGTCCGCTCCCATCACCAGAGTTGAGGGATTCACCGAGCGGGGCTATTCCTCGGTAACCCCCCCTGGAGCCAAGCCTCGCGGAAGCTTCCGGAGCGAAGCTGCC